TCTCATCTATCTATCCTCCCTATCCTCTATACTATTCTATATCTACCTACCTACCTTATCTATTCTATCTATCTAAACCTACCTATCTACCTTATCTATCTACCCCTATATTATCTTATCTATCTATACTACTATTCCTACCTACCTATCTACCTTTCTTATTCCTCTATTATATCTATCTTATCTATTATCTACTACCATTCTTTCTATCTATTACTACCTACTATTCTATTCTAATCTACCTCCCTACCTATCTATTCCTTCAATCTATCCTACCCTACCCTATCTATTCTATCTATCTCATCTACCTTATCTATTTTATCCTTATCCTATCTTACCTAACCTATCTAATCCTATATATCTATCTCATCTCCCTATCCTACCCTATAATCCATCCTACTCTATCTATCTAACCTACCCTATCTCACTCATCCTCTATTCTACTATATATTCTATTCTTATTCTATTCCTACTCTATTTCTATCTAATATATTCTTTATCTATCTATCTATTTCTTATCTTACCTACTATCTATCTATACTTACTCTTACCTACCTATTCTACTTTCTATTCTACTGCTACCCTATCTCTCTATCTATCTATCTATATTTCTCCTATCTCACCTCACCTACTCTACCTATTCTATCTATCCTATATATCTTATGTTCTATCTTACCTAACCTATTCTACTCTACTATCTATCTATCCTCATCCATACCCTAGCCTATCTTACCCCTATCTCTATCTATCCTCACATACTAATCATACCCTCCATCCTATCTATCTATACTATCTATCTATCTATCTATCCTCATACTATACTATTACTACCTACACCTATCTATCTATCTACCTACCTACCTGCCTACCTATCTTCTACCTATATAATCTTATTTCTATTCTTATTCTACCTATCTACTATCTATCTACCTATACTAATCTACCTATCTTTCTGACCTATATATACTTCTATCTATTCTTACCTATCTTCTATCTATCTATACTATACTACCTACCTATTTACTTATCTACTCTACCTACCTTATCTCTTCTATCTACCTACCTTATCTATCTATTCTACCTACCTATCTACTCTATTCTATATCTACCTATATTATCTTATCTATTCTACCTACCTATTCTACCTATCTATTACTATCCTATCTATATACCTACCTATCTATTCTTCTATTATCTATGAGAATTTATAAGTTTTACCGGACTTGTGATTTGTAACAAAATTACGGTATTAGGTCACTCCTCGAAATGGGGTTGTGACAAATGTATAACACCCCGCAGTCACACCTACTTTCTTCAGTTAAAATAGGCCACATTACTTTTTACCACCGTTTTAAATTAGGGAGTACATCTTTTTTTCGGTGTTTTAGAGAGCGGCAGGTGGAGGACGAAACTAGTGCTACAGCACCTAAACTTAATTAGTCGTGACGGGATGATTCGTTCTCTAGTCATTCATTGCTACCCGTTTCCCTTACGACCGGTCAAATATTTCCATAGTAAGAAATCAATTCGGAAAAAATCCGTTCTTTACTATGGTAGAATTTATATCGGTGCAGTCAAACTTGTTCAATTTGCTACTAAGTTAGTAAGACAAATGATGTTGATGTGATGAATCAGGTTCCATTTATTTTTTGTCTTATTTTGTAAAGTAATTCTTATAAATACTTCGTACTAACTAATTCCTGTTGGTTTAAAGTTGTTTTCGCCGGAATGTATATAAAGCAACCTCGACTGTAGTCACAACGTAGAGAAGTCTTCTTCACCGTTTTAACTCTGTAGATCGACCTTAGATATGATTTATAAAGTACAAATCTAATTCACTATTTATTAGGGTTGCGTAGGTCCATTTCGGTACAATTTTGGTATCGAAATCGTGAGTCGGATCCGAGAAAGACGACATCCGACACAACGTTCCAGTGTTTCACGTAAAATTTACAAGGACGGTGTCTTATCGGTAGAGAGAGTGTTGTTGTTGTCCTCCTCCTCCATTATCTTCTCTCTCTACCGTAAACCGTCCTCGTAAATTTACCGTGAACACTGACGTGTTGTACGATCCGTCCGTCCTCTCCGATCGAACTCACGTTTCGATATACCAAAATTACCGAAAATGGTTGACCTCGCCCAAATACAATAAGGAGATGATTGGTACTATAAATGATTTAAGGTCGATCTTCAGACGTAAAACGGTAGAAAAGACTTCGTCTACGTTTGTGCACAGGTACAGGCTATTACATCCGCCGAAACAACTTTAAACACAGGAATTGTTGTACAGATTTAGTAGAATTTACTTACATAAGACATAAAATAAAGGACCTCGTCTATCTACATCAACATATTTTGCTCTTTACGTAACTTAGTAGACAAATTTGAACAAGTTTGCACTGCACCAATCAAATTCTCCGATGGTAAAAGGAACCGATTTTTCCGGATTGTAATCTTTTACCTATTGCGAAATTTTGACCGTCGGTAAGGGAAACGTAGACAATGATGCTAGAGACGACAATCATCCGTCACGACTTAATAGTTTTAGTGCTCGTACACTTAGTTCCCGTCTCCCCCTGCCTCTTCTAAAAATCACCCCAAAAAAAAAAAAAAAAAAAAAAAAAAAAAAAAAAAAAAAAAAAAAAAAAAAAAAAAAAAAAAAAAAAAAAAAAAAAAAAAAAAAAAAAAAAAAAAAAAAAAAAAAAAAAAATAAAAAAAAAAAAAAAAAAAAAAAAAGGAAAAAAAGAAAAAAAAAAAAAAAAAGGTAAAAAAAAGTGTACTCCCTAATTAAAAACGTCGTAAAAAGTAATGTTAGGCTATAACTGAAGAAGTTGGGGGGAGGGGGTGGACTGCCGTGTTATCATTTGTCACAATTCCCCATTTCAGGTGACTAAATACCTAATTTTAGTTACAATCACAGTCCGGTAAAACTATAAAATTTCTCATTAGATAGATAATAGATAGATAGGTAGGTATATAGTAATAGATAGTAGATAGGTATGATAGGTAGGTAGATAAGATAGATATATTAGGTAGATAGATAGGTAGATAGGTAGGTAGATAGATAGATGAGGTAGTAGTAGGATAGATAGGTAGGTAAGGTAGATAGATAGATAGGTAGTAAGATAGATTAGATAGATGAGATAGATAGGTAGATTAGATAAGATTAAGATATATATAGGTAGTATAGATAGGTAAGCTAGATAGGTAGATAGATGAGATAATAGGAGATAGATAGATAGCTATATGTAGATAGAATGGTAGGCAGGTAGAGAGGTATGATAGATAAAACAAAGATTAGGTATGGTGGTAGAAGATTAGATTAGATAGATAAGATAAGATAATAATAGATAGATAGATAGGTAAGGTATATTGAAGAATAGATAGTTGTTGGTAAGATTTAGTGTAACAGAATAAGGATAGTAAGTATAGTTGAGGTATTAGATTAGGTAGGTGGATATGATGGATATAATAGGTTAGATAGAATAGGGGAAGATAGGTATGGTAAGATAGACTAAGATAGATAGATTTGGGTTAGAAAGGTAGGTAGGTGAGATAGTAGGTAGGTAGGGTCAGAATTAGATAAGTTAGGTAGGTAGATAGATAGATAGATAGTATTTAAGATAGATAGATAAGATAAGGTAGATAGATAGAATAGATACTAATTGCAGGTAGATACGATAGGTAAGATAAAGGTAGTAAAGAGTTTAAATAGATAGAATATATACAGGTAGATTTTAGGTTTAGGTTAGCTTAGATAAATATAGGGTAAAAGTGAGTAAGGTAGGATTGGTAAGGTAGATGGATAGGGTAGGTAGATTAGATAGATAGTTAGGTAGATCTATCTATCTATCCATCCATCTATCTATCTATCTATCCATCTATCCATCCATCTATCTATCTATCTATCTATCCATCTATCTATCTACCTATCTACCTACCCATCCATCCATCCATCCAGGAAGTGATGACACGTCGCTCTACCGATGGAAAGATTTCCTGAGGACACTTCCTGTTCTAAAGGTGCAGTGTCACCATCAACACATTATTCCTATAAGGCACTTACACCTCTCACAGCGGGGCGATTAAGGTTAGAGTTTCGTGTCGGGAAAGCCCAACAGCTCCTTCCACTGTAATCCGATTGCGGTTAAATGTGCTTCCCTAACATAGTGAGTATGGGAGGGGTGTGTCTCACAGAACTCTGGGGATAAGAGCCTCATCATGTTAGCTCAAGGTGTGGCACTTAGCCAGGTGTGTCTTTAAATAACCCCAGGGTCGTTTCGTATCCTCACGGCTAGGACACACAGCGCCGTTAGGAATCCACTCTTGATCTGATTAATGCATTCAGTGGTTTCTAAAAGCACAACGGTGGATATCTGTCAGAAATCAGCGGCGTCAGAGGCTCACATTTGACTTGAATGAGCCGTACAGTTTGGATTACATCCCTTTCACTGTGGTGGACTTTAATTAAATGTGACTGATACTTTAAAACACACAAGTGATTTGACCAACTTTGATCCTGCCTGACAGGTCCAACCCGGAGAAGAATCCTTCAGCAGACACCTTCGCTTACAACATGTTGTACTACTCAGTCTGTGTGTGTGTGTGTGTGTGTGTGTGTGTGTGTGTGTGTGTGTGTGTGTGTGTGTGTGTGTGTGTGTGTGTGTGTGTGTGTGTGTCGAATTAATCTCACACTTGTTTTGCTTTGATTTGCACAAACATCAGCCAATATTCAAGGTTTTTTTCTTAACGAGAACAGATACCAAGCAAATGTTGATTTAAGCTGGTTGAAGATAAGCTATACTATTTTGAATTGTGTATTTTAGTAAGAGAGATATTATAAATAGCGGGATTTAATGTGCACACTCTGATGATACTGTAATACATTGAATCGTAAGCAATAAAATGCAGCATTTCTCCTTCAGTGCTTTCAGGGTGTTTACTTGGTGTTGAATAGACAGTAGCTTCTAGTGGCTACATTTAGGAAACTTAAAGTGGACCTATCATGCTATATTTGAATAATATAGTGTAGGACCATACCTATATAAGGCATATTTATACTTTTTATTTTTCTAAATACCAAACAGATCATGCATTTTAGCCATTCCTCATTTCGCTCAATTGAACACTGTCTTTGCATCATGGGCTGATTCTGTGAGAACAGCACCATCTACAGGCCTGGCATATGTACTACAGCGTCTCCAGCGCTTTCCAACGGCAATGTCCGTGGCTGTCTCCTCCTGATTGGTGGAGTTGGCCCAATAGCCGTAGCGCCACTTCTGTGACGTCATAGAAGTGTTCAAATCTGGATCAGTCTGTATCAGATCCGTTGCAGCCCCTTTTTAAGAGATTTGGGTATGGAGGAAAATAGAGAGGGTTGTGTTTTCTGACACTTGGTGAGTTCCCTGGAACACCGGGGACACATATTCATGTATACAAGACGTACAAAAGTGCATTTTGCATGATAGGTCCCCTTTAAGTAAGATGCAGCTCCATAATGAGCTCTACATAGCTTAAATAATAATGAGCACTTTATCATGATTGTCTCTTGCAGTGAATGCAAAGTCAGCGAGTGGATAATGACTTCCACATATTGTCAATTAGCCAAAATGATTCCGTATTGTTCTCTACATTTAGATTAAACTTTTGTACGACTGATTAATGCCACGTAACAATAGCTGGGATTAGCATATAGTGTCGAACACGATAAAAGTATAAAAGTTGACATCCAGAGGAGAGGTTTTACTCACAGCTGCCGAACTTTAGCGGGCAGGCGTGAGCGTCCATGGGGAAGTCCTCCAGCTGCATGGGGCACTCTGCAGAAATGGTCAGTCTATAGAGAAACACAGAGAATGGACCTGTTAACGTGTCCTACAGCATCCGTCACTTTGGGATGTGTATCTCCTGCAGTGTGCAATTACAGGAAGCGCTATGATTGCTGAATGACTCAAATTAGAGGGTAGAAAAACAATTAGACGGAAGGGGGCAGTTTTACAGATTTGCACTTAAAATAAAAAAAGGAAAAAACAGATTTTTCAAAAGCAGTGAAATGTACATGTGCAGCATTTCCCTCTCTCTACAACTCTGGTATTACAGTGGCAACACTACCACCTGGTGGTCACTGAGGTTCTGTGTTATTTGTCTGCATAAAAGAAAAGGAAACACTTCTAAAGAACCAGTCATTTTTTATTTCAATCAGATGTGAATCCAACCTCTTTCTCCAAATGGACACAGTTGAACTCTCTAAGGACTTGAGGTAGAATTGAACACTTCCAATTGTTCCTCAAATCAAATTCTACGCAAGTCATTAAAGACATGTTGTTATTATATGAGCTTCCTCTCTCAGTGTCCTGAAAGACCTGCATGGTTAAGGGAATGAAGCTCACACACCAAGCACACACACATCATAACTCTTCTCTTTTTTCTAACTACCTGCCCTAGATTGAATCGAGTCCCTCTGGGTATTATTCTCGCTCATAGTTTGATGATAAACAGTAAAACAGTGATATGATGATGTGGACTCCCTGAACCTAATGGGCTGGAGAGAGGAGAATCAGAGCACATGTTTACAGCACATCTTCTCCCACAGTACATGATGTATTCCCCTTCAGTTATCTCTAGTGTAATCTTGGTGGAACTGTGTCACCAAGACGTGGCGAAACCCTCCTGGGTCGTGCTTTTTTTACGCTCCAAAAACACTTCATGCATGTATCTTCTTGCAGGAGGTTCCCCCAATGATACGGTTTAAGCGAGCAGAGCGTTGCAAAGTGGGGTAAGGGGCCATCGCTGGTCCCTACAGAGCTGACTGGGGACTCAGCTTGCTTTCCACATCACTGCAGGATTATCCAATTGCATTATTGTGTCTGAAACAGCTGAAGGATTGTGTTCGGAGAGAGAGTCTTTGGGGTAAATACATGAGACTAACATGACTGTTGGCTATCGTACCATGTGCTAATTATGCATGTGGCCTTGCCCCGTTAGCAGGGATGCCTGTAAAGATAGTTGCTTTTAATTTGGGTCTCTTTTAAAAAGGATAGTGTAGATTTGTGTGGTGCTATTTATTCTATCTTCTATCAAATGTTCAACTAACTTATCCACATTTCAGCCCTACATCCATGCAGACAGCGAACCCGTTAACCCTTTGCATAAAAGCAAAAGCAGGTTTCACAATAAATAAAAAAGCCAGGGGAAATCCACACTTTTAATAATGTTTTTGGATGCTGTGTGACTTTGATAGGGCTTTTCTCAATGGAGTCCCATGCTTCCTTTCAGCCAGTATGGACTCAGTAAAAAGCAGTTCATCACAAACACACCTGTGGGAAATCTAGGGTTTACAATACGCCTGATCCTGCAGGAAAGTGGAGAACTTGGACGACGGGACAAAAGCAGAAAGGGCTGAGTTGAGTGTCCTGAGGCTTTAGGCTGTAACACACACTGAGCCATCTGTCTTTGGAAACCAACAAGCACATTTTTAACAACTTGTATCACATACAGTCGGTCTCATGGGAGGCGGGGATATGTCATATAGACAAGGAATGTTTTAGAAGTGTAAATACATGAAACGAATTAGAAAGTGTGATTATATTTGATAAATCATACACAGTCAGTATGGTAGCCCGTTGTAATGATTACAGAGAAGTCTAAAGGCAGCACTAGGAGCATGAATGAAAATATCTGTTCCTAATGATAATGGTGTGTAATGCACTCGCTCTGTGGTAGTGTGGAGATTTCCAGCAGCTGATTAAGCCGTACATGTTGCAGTCGGCTGTAATGGACCGCCATCAGGCTCCATGTGCATTAAGCTCGCGGAGCGCTTTGAAAAGGGGCATTTTATGAATTATTCACCGAGACAAATGCATACAAATGTGCTCCATAGAGCCAAGCGCTCATCCTCAGAGTAATGCTTTTCAAATGACATGAGCTCTCATTCGCACCCGCATGTGGAAGTGGTGTGTGTGTGTGTGTGTGTGTGGGAGAGGATGTAATGTGACATGACAGTGTGTCTGTTCCTCTGCTTACGAGTGTGAATGCTGTAAGAGCCGTTTCCTGATGGATGGGTGGACAAAGTGTCTGTGTGAATCTTACAGGAACGTACCCATGTTGTAGTTACTCCATTTACTGCATGCTGCACCTGCTTACAGCACCCAAAGGGGTTTCTGTTTGTTGTGGGTGGACTGTTAATACTATATATTATTTGTTTAACACAATTAATCATCTTTATAGGCTCAACAAATATCAATAATCATCAAGCAGCTTTTTTAAATGCAATAATTAGTTGATATATAAGACAGGTGTGTCATCTTCACATCATTCTTCTTCAAGAATGTATTTGATTTGATAGATTACAGTGTCTGCTTTCTATTATCTGGATTTAATGCAGTCTTACTGTATTTGTATGCAAAAAAAATCCATGAAATAACGTATACTATATGTAAATAACTAGTTCAATTAGATTTATATAAGATTTTTGCTAGAAATGATCATTTATTCCCTTATTTTCTTGATAACAAACTGAAAAGCTGAATAACAGTCAATGCAAACAGGCATGTAAAACACATTAACAAACCCATCGTTGTGTTGGCTGTAACCTCCGAGTGCCCAGATGGCCTGTGTGTGTGTGTGTGTGTGTGTGTGTGTGTGTGTGTGTGTGTGTGTGTGTGTGTGTGTGTGTGTGTGTGTGTGTGTGTGTGTGTGTGTGTGTGTGTGTAGAACGTGTCGCAAACTAACGTGTCGTCGTCGT